GGCGGGTTCTATACATGCGGGTTACCGAGTAGCCTTCGTGGACCCTCGAGAATAAATATACAGCTGAGCCTAGCCCATACGAGTGCTTGCGGTCCCCCTCATCCGAATCTTCTTTTTGTTTTATCGAAGTTTTGGGACAAGGCACTGGTGTTACTTTTCCTTTCTTTCGGGATTTCTCCGTGATTTTTGAGGATTTTCTTTTACTTGAGTCTTTTCTCGTTGATTTTCTCGAGTTTTTCCACTTTTCTTTTTCTCGAGTGTTTCCGCTTTTCTTCGGGTTTCTCGGATGACGTTTTCTTCCGGACTTTGTTTTTCTCGAGATGCATTTAGGCTTGCTATACTTAAGGAACATCGGATCTCACGGGCGTACAAGTTTGTTTGCGTACACGTACAAGTTTGTTTTACATTTTACAGCATTTAATTTTCCTGTTTCTACCTGCTACCGTACTGTAAAGCATGTTACACTTATCCTGTTTCTACTTGCTACTGTTCTCCCTGCATAGCATGTTATACTGTTCCTATTTCTACTTGCTACTGTTCTCCGTGCATAGCATGTTACACTTGTCCTGTTTCTACTTGCTACTGTTCTCCCTGTATAACATATTATATTGTTCCTGTTTCTACCTGTTACTGTTCTACCTCGGCGCTTAGGCGCAGCCTTCTCTGTTTAACCGGCGCTTAAGCGCCGGTTATATAACTTCAAGCATGTTTCCTTTTTGCATAAACTCTTTTTTTTTTCATAGGATGTTTAGAGGACTACAACCATAGGGCCGTTTGATTTGATACTACAACCGGACTAAACTCGAAACTTAAACTCGTCATGTCGGAGAGCTTGGAGCTAGCGCAGTGGGCAGCACGGCCATCTTCAACAGCAAAACATGTCTTCCCCAGCAAAATCATTCATCTTCCTAGAAATTAAATAACGATCCATAGGATTTCGAGGTTGTTCGCCTAGCGCAACATAAATCCTCCACCTTTTCTTTAGGCATTCATATAGCTCTGCTGTACGATTTAAGCCCTAACTCGTTCTAGGTTCCGAGGTTGTCGTCCGATACGACGTAAACCCTCATAT